GGACGGCCGTTTCGTCCTAATGTGGGACTCCTCAGTAGTGCGCACCCACGATCCCGCCTCGCAAGATTCGAAACTAGTACCTGTCAGTCTCGCGCGCGAGCGCTCAACCATTAGACCACTGGGTTGGCCGGCATCCAACGGAGTTAATGTTTAACTTTAACATGAATAACAAATTATTCATTAAAATGTAAATATTTTGACAAAATAAAAGAATAATCTTTCAGTTCACACCGTCTAACGATATACAAAACTAATCTTGAAATTATAGGGAATCCCTTAATTGCCAGGTTTATCTGTTGATGTTTTTTGCCTAAGAATCTTGAATATTGTTATCAAGGTATCAGACGGATACTTGTCATTTGTCATTTGCTTGAAAATTGCGTCGTTTATAGATTTGGTTAAATATTCGATACCATTATTCTTTTATATTTTTATTCTAAACGTTTACTTTCATACTTTGAACATTTACTTATTAAAAGATGTTTTTCTTTTAAAATCCGAGATTTGTCCCAGTATTTGTTTTTTGAGAAAATATAATTGGTAGTTATTATGATAATTTAACTTTTCAAATAACATATACGTTTTGCATTCGTTCTCTTCTAATATCTACTTTTAAGAAGCCACATGATAAAAGATGAGATATCTTGTAGTAAACTGACTACAGTTAGTAAGTTATTGTCCTTACCACTTGATAAAAACGTGAATAACGTTTGATCACACATAATTTTGAACAGAAACAATAAGTTAGTTGTTCAGTTTATTTTAGTAATTATTCGAAGGTGCGGATGTTTACTGAAGATTATTTCTATGGAAAGTAGGCTTCGATCAAAGAACTACTGAAAGCCAAAAAAATAGTGAACAACTATTTCAAAGTTTATTCCGTAAGAAAATTAATAGAGAAGTCTCAAACGATAAGTGGTCATTATTCTTTGTACTAATTTCTGAGTTTATCTCTCAATATATTGTTCATCATTTAATGTACAAAATAATTCTTCAAAAACTTAACACAACTTACGTCAATCAACTTTCTCATTAATTAACTATCTGAACTAAAAGAAACTATTAATATTCATTGATGAACAAATTAATAAGAATCAACAGTGGTGAATACACGTATATCATTAAGAATAACAATAATAGTAGCTTTTATAATACCATAAATGTTTTAAGAAATTCACGGCACCAGTTGCATAATCTTTTAAAACGTCCACAGTTCACATGCTCTATATAGTAATTATTGAAAAAATATATTTTACAAATCTTTTTAATGGCCACTCATTTACGATGACGAAAGTTTTATTTTCCGGTCCAGCTAATACACCACGTTTAGGGAGAATAGGATTCCCACGTGTTTGTTGATTTTCTTTGCAGGATAGATAAAAACGAAAATATCCCGTTTTAATTCTCCATTATTGAACAAACTTTTGTGTTAAGTTATAAAACATAAAAACTATGTGAGATAAATGTTACTGGTTTTTTAATCAGCTTAAAGTTTTCAAAGAAAAAAATGGCAATAAAACATTCACAACACTCGTACTTGATAGTTTAGTTTACGTCATTATATCGAAGCATTTACTAAGCTTCAATAGACATTTTTTCCAGTTATTATCTAATCAAAATAAAATGATTTTGTTATTTCAGATATCTCAAACGTAATCTATAAACAACTACACAAGCAATAAGTTACTGAATGAACTGAATTCAATATAAAGCTCAAAGATCAACCATTTCTCTCTCATACTGGTTGAAACAAGCCAGAAAGACTTATCATAATCATGTTATTGAACCGTGTTTAATAAAAGCACGTGAATTGGTAGATTTTTTTTCGAACGAAACTAGATGAACAAAACTATCTTTCGTGCAGTGAAAAAATCGTTTTCAGCTGGTAAATAACTATTGGAGTATATATATATAGTCTTGAGGATTTGAGTTGTAAACGATTTTATTTCCAGTATTAACAGTGAATCGTGTGACTTATTGTGTAAATGTGTACCACTGGAGATCATGTCCAGTAAACTGTCAAAAAGAGTTAGAAATGTGTACACAGATTTCAGTTAATTGTTTTTAGAAATACAAGTAATTTGATTTTCTCCAATAAAAAAAAATAGAATTTTATTAAAGATGAACATCTCTCTAAGATAAATACCGTGTACGATTAACGTTTATAAATTTGAACAAATCTATTACATAACATATGCCTTTAGGAAAAATTGACAAAAAAATACACATAATTTCAGCCATATTTACTGTGAAACACTTTTGTAAGTATTTTAAAAACAATATGATGTTTTATATCAATTTTCGTCAATATTAGAACCAATAGTTTAGTTGTCGAGTATATAGAAGACATAATTTGTATAAAATTATGTCTGAATTTTGCCAGCAAGTGAAATTGCAAATGATATCGATTTTGATTATTACTCTGAAGTCTAAACAGATTTGTTGGACGAAACTTTGGAATTATTTTGATTCAGTCGATGCGATTAGTTCAAATATAATTTCACACTAATAAGGTATGGTGTTTTGTAAGTTTCTTTTAAAGTACTTATAATTTTTTGATTGTAAAACTACCATGTCTAATGATGATAAACTATGATTGTGAAGATGATCAATTTCATAAAAATATATTTTATTGACTTATTCGGTTTGTACGACAGAAACTGATGAATTTTTGTCCAACGAAAATATTTCAGAATCCTTGTTCACCTCAGTGATTTTCTTTATGTTAAACATCGAGTCCCACGAGTGCTAATCATTCATAACAATCAATTTTTGTCGATTTTAGAATAAGTATTGAGAACAAATACAACAGACCATCTCATACAATCTCACTTTGAAGTTTTCCTTAAGTTAACTTCATTTTTAAAATATAAAGGTATAATCGTTCATTACATTTTGTGTGTCTAAGCATATAATTCTAATACTCAAGTCGTGTTTTTTTGTACAGTCTGTATTAAGTAATCATTTTAATGTTAAATTATAGTGGTGAATCCCGGAAATACATCACTTGTTTCTCTCTATAATAAACTATTCCTAATCTAGAAAGTCTTGCATTTCTATTTTTCGCTTGTTTTTTCGTTTCTAGTCTAACAAACGGTTTAATTTGTAATGTAACGGTGTAGCAATAAACTTATAAATTCAATGAAACAAATGTTGTTCCAATCCACTGTTATGCTTCACTACTGACAACATTTATATGATTTAAAGCGAGTGGCATTACTTTTGAATAACAGAATGTGTATAACTAAAATACTTTGAAAATGAATTTGACCGAGAAGTTGAATCAATAGCAAGTTTCGCGTGAACATAATGGAACATGTTCATGGTCTAAAAACTGAAAACTGAATAATCATACCGTTGATTTTCTAGTTTATGAGGTCCAAACCCGTCTGTGGGAATGATTAAACCTTTACTATTTACTAATATTCTCTAGTTCCAAATGAATTTTTGTTCTATAAATCTATCTTCTTGAGTTGTTCGGTTTCAGGGGTGATTATGAAAACAATTATAGAGCCTAGTAAATATTTGTGTTTTAATTGACACAAATATGATTGATTAGACTCGAGATATCACCCTGAAAGTAAAATACCAAGAGCATAGGTTGTTGACGTAGCGAATAATTGGATTTAATGTGTTATTTTGAATTTACCTTCAGAAAAATCAGTTCCCTAGATGATATTAACTTTTTATCATGATGATTTCATTGTCGTTCTGTATATCGTCAGCGATTATTCCATTTGAAAGCTCAGAGTGTGGTGTACGCTTCTTAAGTGGACAGAAATAAGCAGTATGTAGCAGGAATTGAAAGTGGAATGCTTAACAGCAGAATATTAAAATGAAGAGGAAAGGAAGGGGAACATAGAGAAAATGGAATATCAGCATGATTAAAAGAATTGTGGAGTATGTAAAGGACTATTTAAAGAAGATATGTAAATGATGTGTGCCATGTTCTTATGACTGAACAGATCAATGATGCATAAACCGTTCCGAGCAGTGCAGAGTCAATTCTGAGTTTTTAATGGTCCACCGAGATACTAGCTTCTCGCCTAACTCAACCAGTTTAGTCCGGAACACCAATATCAGCCTCTGTTATACAGATAATATATTCCAGATATATTGAGTTTATATACAAACAAACCAGACCGCATCATACCATAAAATAGAAAATAAAAATTATACAAGATCAAGCCGAATCCAAACAAATAAAAATATTTGGTTTAAAGTGAGTAAACTGTACTTTAAAAGTCTCGGAACGGCAAATAATTGAATTTCATTTCAGTTATATTTTCCTTTAGATGTTCGTGTAAATAAAGTAGTTATTTCATATAGACATTTTACGAACATTAAAAATCTGTAGAAAATGCGTTGCATTGCCGTTTAAAACAAATTATAAACTTGTCATTCAAAAGCTTGTGTTGCAGCAAATTGTCAGCTTTTCACTGAAATTATCAGTTGTTTTTATTAGTATTGTCGAATGTGGAATAGATCTTACAACAACTGTCTATTGTCAAATGGAATAGTAAAATTACTGTTGGCATATTGAAGTCTGAATTCACTGAATTTCTTAAAGTAAATTATCGTAATCCTATAATATGGATTGTTCTAATTATACCGATCCCGAAACTTGAGATTATTAAATTAAATGACACTTTGTATTGTTATTGTGTTCTATTGATCAATCGCATAACTTAAAAAAATACATACCCAGTACTGCTCAGTATTTTTTTATTTTTGAGTTGATGTCGCTTTATGTTGAATGTTTTGTTTCTAGTTGGTAAAAATGAAAATTCGTCTCAAATGATAAATATAAGGATAATGCCTTTCCTTAAGTCGTTTCATTTATCTAATATGAATACCCGAAGAAAAAGACATTACTTTTATTTGAAGAGTGAGACATTTTCATTTCCCTATTCCACATTCACTGTTTAATGTAAGCGTTTATTGTTCAAGGCATATTTTATGATTAATTTCTAATTACATTACTGTTTACCTATATACAGCTAAATGTGAAGCATCTTGTTGGCTTGCAATAATTGGAACAATATGTTGCGTAACCTCATCATTTATTGGTGCATTGAGAATGAGATATTGCAATGTTAAGGAGATGAAAAAGTATAAAACAGCACAATTCATTAATTCAATAGCTGGATGTAAGTTACCTTTTAGTTTTCAGTTTTATATAATGTGATTATTATGTATTAACGGTTTTTATATTCGACATGTCCCCATTATTGATAAAAGACTTGGATTTCATAAATAAAAAATAGGCTAAAATTAATGTAGATGCAAAACTACCCTTCCCTACAAATGTAACAGATCAAATCAGCAGATAAAATTCTTGTACTCTGGTCTTATTTTGGCTGTAATAAAACAACAATTATAATGTTGCTGATTATGATAAAGTACTAAAGTAAAATGGATAAACTACTAACTTTAGTATTTAAGACTACGTTGTTAACTAATGAGTCAAACCGCTAGTACGCACTGTTTATTAGGGACAGGAATAAAATATTTCCCATTTTATGTAATTTATCCACCAACTGTTTTTACGTAATGGTCTATGTGAATCGTGAAATCTTTATCGTCAACCAACAATCTTGAAAATACTATCAGTAGATTACAGTTTATGGATATCTGGAAGATAATATTTATTAACTTACGCTACGATGTTCATGATAAATAATAATAAAGTTAACTTGTTAAGATGATATCCATGACTCACATTATTATATTTTAAAATGACAGTGAGATGAAAGGATGAAACTTTTGGGATGTGATAATTTTTATGATCCCCAGATAAAGAGTTCCAATACTCAACGTCATTTAATGATTGTCAACATAGAAGGGCCGATTCTTATCTTACTACGAGGACTTTAGTAATGTTGTGTTATAAAACTAATAGTTTAATAGTGAAAGATTCGCTGTTTTCCAAAGAAAATCATTGAAATAGATCTCATAAAGGACTCATCATCGAAATTTCCACATAGCTGATTCCGTAAGCCCATTTCTTTGAAGCTCGTACTGATGATGCTATCTAGAACGATAATGTGATCAAACCATTCTGTCAAGAGGAATCAATACTTTCTATTATTAATGCTGTATACATGCTTACAGTAAGCCTGCATAAAAATTAATGCATTAATTTAAATTAATTATCTTCAAGTCTAAAATAATAATGAAACACAATTGTTTAATCTATTGAAACCTAATTATCTTCCTTGAAACTTTATAACACCAGATTATAAGATAGAGGATAAACAATTAGAAACTGTTGGTTCAATGTTTATTTAATTTTTTGGCAAGATGTAGTGAAATCCAATACTTTTTGTCAGTCATATTAATTACTAATAGCAAGCTTCTTTTTATTGTTTTATGGCATAATTAAATTAAGCTTTTCTGTTCAAACCACTGTTAAATTATATAAAATGTGGAGATCATCATACACAAAACACCTTTCCGCTGTCCTCTTAATAAAACAATATGTTTCAAAACAGTACACAATCATTAAGTTTGCAAGAATACTGTATCTATAGTGTAAAGGACAGTTTCGGGTATAGTACATTTCAAGTATAATAATGCAGAATTGTGAGCTTTAAAGCAATAAACTTGACTTGACTAATTAAACTGGGAATAAAAACGTATATGATTGGATTTTTAAATTATTAAACCCTAAATGTCAAATATTTGGTGGTAAAACAATACATAATTTGGTTCTTAACAAAATCGTTTTATCTACGTAAATTTGATTAACAGTTATTAATGAAATCTAAGACGAACTCCTCAGCTGGAAATATAACCATTCCAACGTTGATACTCACGGAAAGACAGACTGATTAGTTGAAATCCTTGATAACGACTATGGGAGAAAATGTGATAAGGTAATACAAATAATCCAAATCGTTAGTAATTTTAGCGATATCTAACCTTTGTATCATTTCAAAGTGTAAAGATTAAGTGAGAAATACTTCTAATTACACAACTATATTTATTCCAAAGTCTTAATTTTTCTTTTTTTGAAATTAGTTAAATGCTGTTTTTATTCTTTTTTCAGTTATTAGTTTGTTAAGTTCCGTGTCTGTTTGGGCAGATTTTCTTTATCATCTTCCATATGAACTAAGTACAACTTATCAATTGAATAAATTAACTTTTAATCAACATAAACAACCAATTAAGAACAGGAAAATATTTGTACCTCAAACTGGCAATAATCAAACTAATATATTAACAATTTCTTCAATGTTACATCTTTCTCGTAATTATTCTTTATCTAATTGGATAAAATTTAAAAAGGATTTAAATCATCTTGAACATTTACATTATAATGGAAATTATTTATTTGGTTGGGCATATTGGTTTTGTGTAGTATCAGTTATATTTTTATTTTTAAGTAATTTGATTTATTTAATGAGAAAAGATTGTGAAGATGAAAGACCAGTTGAAATTGTTTTCACTTGACAACAAAAACTCTAAAATGTTATCAACTAATGAATCACTATTGAATGTAATAGTTAAATGTGTTATTTAATCTCAAATACAAAAAAAAATGAAGTAAATGTGTTAAGTCTTGCTGATTGGATGCTATATTCGTTCCTAAGCTATTCTGATAACCCGCACGCTAGAACTATACAGCGACCTGAACACCAGAAAGAAGATGCAAAGTATGAGAGAAACACTTTACTCCAAGGTTAGTTTTTGTACAGAAAACATGGGTATTTATAGATGTTAACGTTTGTTAAATCAGTATCATATTTCGGCCAATTCGTTAACGACATATTATGCTACTGACCAATAGTAGCACGCTACGTTGTAATTCTAAAATGCTTCATCGTGCTCTGATTGGCTAGGACTCTTCGGCTCCTTTTGGGCCTCTGGAGGCTCCGTTGAAGTTCTCCGAAAGCAGACTCAACAAAATGATAAGAAATAAGAAATAATATTTCACTTCAGAGTTTGTTTTCGCTCTTGGTAATTGTAATTTCGGTTCACATGAATTAGGTAATGAATATAGAAATAAAATTTTAAAAGTTGAGATCATGAGCCAATTGAAGCTAGACCACTATGGACAACCTGGAAGCATTGGACGGCCGTTTCGTCCTACTGTGGGACTCCTCAGCAGCGGATCGTGAATGCGCACTGCTGAATAGTCTCATAGTAGGACGAAACGGCCGTCTAATGCTTCTAGGTTTTTGTTTGTTTTAGCACATCATTATGTCTATTGTGCTCACAATCTATTCAGGCGCGTTTATGAAAAGTTTTCAACCTTTCGCTGTACGGGATACAAAAAGGTACAATCAGCGACATCATGGTGGCTGGCAGTATGCATTGAAACGAATGAACATTAATCAAATGTGGATTACCGAACTCCTAACATCTAACGGGTCATCATTCAAAATTTATCATCACAATCGATCAAGGTACAAGAAAAGGAAACTTGTTGAAATACTTTATGCTGAGAATTCTATGTTGTACCAAAAATATAATGTTGAATAAAGCTTCTAATAATAATAATGATAATAATAATGATAGTGGTCTGGCTTCAATCGACAGATGATATCAACTATTAAAATTACTATAATATCCATAAAAACCCTTTCTGATGTAAATAAAAGTTTTTTCTTTTTTTAAAGACTTGAAAACATTTAATATTATTTAAGTAGATAGTTAATTTAGAAATAAATCGTCATACATGTGTGCGAAATTACTTTTTAGATAAAATATTTCAACTGTATAGGTAATCGAAATTCACTTGGTGTTGTTTACTTGTATTTTCTAATTGTTGCTTATAAAGCTTGTGAATTAAGATAATATCTAGACAGACAGAATGCACATATGCCAATAAAAGACTGATCAATTGCAGTCCTAAATAACAATGGGAAGATACAAATAAACAGCATCAAGTGAATTTAAAACTTCACCCCATTGCATAAGCTGGTGGCTATCAGGACTCAGTAACTAAGTGGTAACGGGATGGCGTTTGTACCGGGTACGAGTCCCAGAGTGAACATCAACTCTGAGATGCAACTGCTTCCGGTTGACGAGTTTTAAGTAGGACGAAACGCGCGTCCTGAATTCCATTGCTAGCCATTATCCATCTTTGCTTGTATAGTAAATCGTTTGTGGAGAACATTGAAGATAATGAACGTGACTTTAGAAAAGTATTATATTCATAACAAATCAGATACGAAATAAAGTTAAACAGTTCCTAATCGATTGAGATCATGAACCGATTGATGTTAGACCACCACAATTGAAAACCTGGAAGAACTGGACGGTCGTTTCGTCTTATTGTGGGACCCCTCAGCAGTGCGCATCCACGATCCCGCTCGCGGGATTCGAACCCAGGGCCTTCGATCTCGCGCGCGAACGCTTAACCAACTGGACCACTGAGCCGGCATCCAATGGTGATAGTTCCTAATCGAGTTTATCAGCATTTAATTCAAGCAAAAAAGGGTTAAGAGAAGTATGTCTGATTTCGATGTTCTTCATTTAACGGTAAGCATAATTTCTTTTCCATCTCAAAACTATTCACAGAAATGCTGATGATCAGCATACATTGATAAGAAGGAAAAAATTTGCGAATAGTTTGACATTTACATCTGTCCAGATGCAAAACTTCACCATGTTGTTTCAAACCAATAGGTATTCTGTAGATGATAAGCCTCAACTAAGAGAGTTATTCTGTATAACACACAAATTCAGAAAGATTTTTAAGTGACAACCAATCACTCGGCTAATTAAGAACAATAAAATTAATCATTCAATAATCTAATGACTTTAACATAGGTGTGAATGTATATTTCGACTTCAGATTAGTTTATGATTACTGACAAAGTAATGAAAAGTATAGTTTCAATCATAACTTGATTTTCATCCTTGTGAAACAAGATTAGAATGTAACAGAAATGACAACCGTTCTAAAATGCCTTTGAATAAGTGAGATACATAAATTGATGCAGTAGTATTCAGGAATTTCATGAAAACATATTGAGAATACATTACAACTTCCATAAAGAGAATAAAGTTTCTCTCATTTATTATGACAATCTGATCAAAGTGTCACTACATTAATCTGTGAATAAGGTCACATTTTAGTGGCTTCTCGTATAAAATAATAAGATCCCGAATTAAAAGATTATTCAATTGGTCAAGGGCTTTTATCAATAATTCAACTTATTAAACCCTAAATGGCATTATCAATATTGACAGACACATTTAGTTCTGTTGACCACATCTTGTTTACAAATGAGAAAACGTCGAAATGATTAGATAACTAAGAAGCAGCTGTTCTCATTCTCTGTTCCCTAAAGATGCTTGGAATATTTTCGATAATATCTGATTTCTGTTTAGTGATGAAATTTCGGAGTGCGTTTTGTTATATTTAACTTCCATCTCTATTATTATAATCTAAATTTCAGTATCATTCAATAATCACTTTCGATTAAACATTTCATATAATACACCAGCTTTCTACTCATCAGGTATAAATCCGTTCGCGGAATACAGGGGCAACAAATCAAATCGATCTTTATTAACTCACATATTTCTTAGTAATCAGAATTTGATAAGGAAACAGTCAAAAATAATTTACATAATGAGCAAATTATGTTGTAAATAATCAACTTATTTTAAGCATTTATTGATGAAGTGAATGGACTTTGATATAGGTGAAGTTTTTAGCTATAAAATGTAAATCAATAGAATTAGATGTTAATTCAGGATACATAGACCTTGATGAACTTGTAACAATCCTCTCTCAACTTATTATTTTTCTATGGCATATAAAATCGTTTAAGTGAACCTTATCATGTTTTCTCTGTCTACTCACTGTGGCTTAGACTTTTGATTCATCGTGTATATACATGTCAAAGTGACTGAATTTATGTTTGTATTTAATTTTTAACTATAACCTCATTGGTTGTAAACACGATTAGTCAATAATTTTATTCATTCATCAATTTCCACTGATACTAGAAAAAAACATGTTCATACACATACATTCTTTCTCTTCTCTCACCACTGTGCTCGTTTGATCCAACTGATTATTAATGAACGCCTCAACAAAACTCCTATTCTTATTTCTGAATATTCTCAAGGAAACTAACGACAACACCTAGCCAGAGAATAAATACTTGGTTAAATGGGTTGGTAAAATTTGTGGTCAATCAAGGGAACTAACCTTAACAAACTAATGACCCTGATGTGAAAACTTCAGGGATATATCAATGAGCTATGTATCTGTAGAAATTTAAAAAGATCTGTAATATAATGCCCTTACTATAAATGCTGAAAATATCACAGGAGCATATAAGACTTATTATTCTCAAAGCGGCAGGTCACGATGAGCAAGATGAGTAAAAATTATTGGATTAAGGTTACTGTGAGGTTTTCGTAGCTTACCTGGATTTACTTAAAATTTCGTAACTTCAGCTGAATATTCTGAACAGTTTGAATTTTTAGGCAACCATACTTGACAAACAGAAGAAATATAGTCTCACTCTATCTAATTTTACACAGTTAGTGATCGAATTTCGTCATATTTTCTACGATATTACGGTACATAGATCCATACCATATAGATAAGAGCTAAAATTATGTCAAGTACCTATGACTGAAAGTCCAATATGCCCAATGCTTTGACAACTACGATCCAGAGTTGTTTATGCTAAATTTTATTTTTGTAGATCACAGTGGATGCAACTAACTGTCCACCTAAAAACAACTTTATGTTAATTTCTTGAGATGTTTTTCCTTATGCTCTCCGATTTTGTCGATTGATTACTGAACGTTAAAGATACGTTCAATCCTTTATTGAGACGTTTGTTTGCTTAGCGTAGTGAAAAAAACGATAAGAAAATCAAATATGTTTAGATACTCTCAGATAATGAACAGAGTTTATTAGGCTATAATAGTCAATAATGTTACTAATTTCATTGAGATTTTTTCTGACTATCAAATGCCACGTATGGTATATGACATTATAGAGAACACTTATTACTTTATTCAAGCAACGAGGATAATTAGATATTGAATGTTAGGAAACACCAGTTATTTAATAGATAACAATTAAAATTAAAGATCAGTATCTTTTCGGCATTTTTTGGATGAAGTTCAGTTTAACGATTCTTCAGCTTGTATTGTTATTATCTCTTTTTCATAATGTTATTTATGTTCGTTAAATTCCATATGAAAATACAATACACGATAAGGAGAAACTGACGTGAAATATTGTCTACGAGAATACGAATACAGGAACACTTCAGTAATAAACATAATAATCTGAATGAAAAGTAGCTAGATTAGAAAGAATATCAGGCCCTTACTTGGGTAATAAATCCTTCTTTCAGGATTCAGAAATGGATAAGATCATCTGTATGACACTAATTTTTTTCAATGATAGGAACCATTAATTAGTTATGAGAGCAGTCTTTATCAGAAACAAACTTGACTAATTCTATACA